ATATATATATATATAAAATGTTATTTTTCTAATTATATGTTTTCTAAAACTGCCTAATATGTCTTCTTTTATTGAGCAGGAAAAGGCAAGGTAGGGTTAGAACCATAATTTAAAAAGTGATGAGGCTCTTAGATTCTCGTAACTTGCTAGAAAATATACTCATCTATTTTTCTTTGATTGTTTTTTCACATTCCACCATTTGTGTGACAACATGGGCAGTGATCAGATGGATTTGGTGGCTGACAGGAAAAGACAGGCGAGCAGCAGGTATGATTGTTCAATAGATGGCCCCGCAGAGTTCTCTGGAGCATTGATTCCTGTCCTATGTCTTATTGCTTCTCAGTGAGAAGACCGTACCCTCTATTCCTCAGTTTTGTCACCTCTAAAAATGATGACAAGTTGCTGACTCATGTCAATTGCCTTCATTTACTTTGGGACCTACTTAAATACAATTTCCAAATCGCTATGTGCTATCTCAAGTAGTCCCAGGAAGGTCACCCCACTTGGAAGGTGTCATCCTGAGAGTGGTAAGGAAGGAAAAGGAGGAAGTGCTTAGTGCCTTCACACTTTTGAGAAGCGGAACTACTGTTAACATGCATCCTCCTGACAAATTCCTCAGCAGATGTTAGAACTTCTTAGAGATGTTTAAGAGGTTGTGTTACTCAGCAGCTGTGAAGATCACCAGTGCGCAGCTGAATGATTTTGTGCTTACATTGAACATATGCCCAATTAACAGAAAGATGAAAAGTGGGAGACACAGGCATCGTTTTTCCCTGTCTCTATGACTTTTTTGGGCTATGGAAGCACCCCATGAAGATAAAGAGTGTTTAGGGAACAGTACTTGTCATTACAATCTGTAATGGTAAGCAGCCTCAAGTGCCATGCCAGTCTCCTTCTGATGGAAAAGAGCAAACTAGAAAGTCTTTTTTCATCCCAGTGAAACAATATCATTGCCCAGCATTAAAAAAAAAAAATCATAAGTAACATGTATTGGTTATTCCAATTTTGAAGAATGCAGAGATTGTACATTATTCCTTTAAAAAGCTTGAAAAGGTTTTTTCTTTTTCTGCAATGATGACTCCCGAACTCTGGCTTTAGTAACAATAATTAAAAAGTGTTCTAAGATGAGATGGATGGATGGATGATTGCCAGTCATCGTTAATTTATTACAGATTTTTAACTTTGCTTCACTAGGGCATGTCTGCTGAAGGCCGTGTAGGACCCAGGGGACATGCGTGCCTTCACCTACCTCCCCGCTGGCTGGCTGGGGAAGGGAGAATTATTGACATTTGTTGTTCTCCACGGACCAATATGTGAGATAACTGGAGGGAAATCTACTGTCTTGTAAATCTTCCAGTCAGGGATGTGGTCAACTTCTTCGGGGTGTGCTCGGGGCAGACTGAGCAGACTTTTAGGAATCAATTCTAGACAACAATCATCAGCTAGGCAAACAGTGAAGCAGTTTGCATGTAATGTATACTTCTGCTGCAGTGGGACGTATGAATAAATCTCTGACCCTATTCCAGAAAAATTAGGAACCTGGTCTAGGCGACTCTGAGAGCAGCTGAAGCCTAAGTGCCCTCACTATCTGTTGCTCTCTCTGTTTCCAGCTGTCACATACTTCATGCAGACTGCCTTGTGGGAGCAGTTGAAAGCTCCAAGATGTCTGATCTGAGTGCCATGCAGCAGGTACCACCGGACCTGTAGTACAGGTTTTATCCCGGACATGTTCTCAAAATGAGTTCACTCAGCAAGGGACTTTATTTTTTCTTTTTAAAAATATTCCCAGTGAAATAAATTATTCCTATTATCTCTCTGCCTGAGGGCTAAACATACAGAGCTATGTCTTTTGGTTTCCCTGTGGTAGGACTGTAAAGGCATAAATTGATCTAGCCCAGAGTTGGGCTGCCACCAAGGAGAATAGAATTAGGTATTTGTTGGCTGTCTGTGGCATAATTTACTAGAGCTTGTCTTTGTCTCCTATAGAAAAGCAAATGCCATAGCAGAGGCCCTTGAACTTTATTTGAAAGGATCAGCTATTTAGGAATCTCTAGGGTGAAACTTTGCCCATCTCTACTGTTACTTTCATCTCCATAAAGCCTAACACAAAGCCTGGTATATAAAGTAAATGTTGAGAAAATGAATAATTGAAAGAGGGGTGAGTTTATGTCCTGAATGAAATGGCCTTTTATATTTTTTTCTTCTATAATTTCAGGTATGCAGAATGTGACCCAAAGCCATCTGAAGTAATTTCTTGAATAAAAAGTGGAAATTATTTTTGCTTTAGCTATATAATTAAATGAAAGCATAATTTTTCTTTAACTTAGAAGGGTTGGAAACCTGGATTATGCTTTTAGGAATTTTTTAACGAACCTATTAAAGGCAAGAGAACCTCCAAATTGCCACAGTAAAAATAAATGCACAGAATGAATCCATTATCCAACACTCACAAAGCACTGTTTACCAATAATTAACAAATCCAACTGATATTAAGAACTTAGCCCCCTCTAATGGAGCAGACCACAGGGAAATATCAAAGAAGTGCTAACAGCTGGCTTGTTAATATCCTCAGTCTTTTATTTTTCTACAAGAAAAAACAAATGGGAAAGCACAAAGGCAATTATACAGTAGTTCTGTTTAAGATAAACCATAAGTAAGTATAAGTACTCACTGGATTGATCACATAGCTAAATCCCAGATCATAAATTCTAATATTGGGTAACAGACGTATAAAATGTTATTAGTTTAAAAAGAGCTAAGATCTAGGGAACTGATTTTATTATGTAGTAAATACTTTCACTAATAAAGACTCAGCCACAGATCCTAACTTGGGGAGGAGCATTTATCTCGTTAAGTCACTGCTACACACCATCTGTTTCAAGTCAGACCCATATGAATGAGCCCTTCAAAATAGCAAAGGGACCATGGAGAGTAATAGATTTCACCCTACCTTCTTCATTTTTTTTTATATATCTTTGTTTATTTTCAACCACTCTGAATGTACCTGGTGGGTCCAAATGAAGGCTAAATTCAGAGTTAATCCTTTCAAATACAAAAAGCTATTTTATTTTTCAGATTTTTATCCTTCCTTGTTACCTCTTGGCCACTCAACATCTCTTGTAAAATGTCAGTTGGTCACAGGAGCCTTTCCTGACCCTCAGGTTTAGAAAGCTCACTGCTCACATTCACTGCACATTGCCTGGGTCATGACACTCATCATGTGTAAATTTCCAGGGTGCTGAGAAAAAATTGTGTTTCACAGTTTTATTCTTTCCAGTACTCAGAATTGCCTGGCATGTGATAATATATAATCAATACTGGTTAACTAAAGCAATAAATGAAAGCTTAAATGGAAATAATAGAATGTTATAATATTACTGTAAATGAAGTAAAGATTTTTAGATATTTCATGGGTCTCTGTAGAGAAGATACCTTTAGATACACTATTCAATCCTCGGAACCTCATGTTTATTACACCTTGTATAAATATCCTGTATTACCTACTGTGCCTCAGAGATATGTCTATTTCAGTAGTACCCAACTCGTTTAATCTATGTGTGGGGGGGTAGATTGTAGATGGAGATAACCACCGAAACCTCCTATAATTTCTTGTTTAACATCCTTAAATACCTAAATTATCATTTGTGAGAGGTATTTCTATGAGTTGTTGTGACTGCTAATTCTGAAAACCACTCATGTCTTGAAGATTTTGGACTTCTGGACATCTTAATTTTGGAATCCGGAATTTATTCTTTGGACCTCATTATAGCTATTTGTACTAGTAATTTTCCTAATTAGACTACTTTCCCTCACCCAGTAAATTACACTAGAATGCAGGCTTAAGGTGCAAAGAACCTACCACACACATCTGAGGCCACTGTAGGCCAGCGCTTAGAATTGAAAATAAAAGATTGGTAAAATCCAGTTCTCCTAAATGAGATATATTATGATTTATTATTACCTTAAATTTTGTGTAGTACTGAAACTATTACCATTTAGTTTAGGTATGCCTGACACAAATATAAAAAAATAAAATGAATGTTCACCTACTTTCATGGATATTAAATGGCTTACACAGTAAAACAATATAAGAAAAAGAAAATGTTTGGAAAATCATAAGCTTTACTTCAGTTTCACTATTTGTTTTCAGGGGCGACATTCCATGTAGTTTCCGTCTTTAAGGTGCACTTACTTTTGAATGGTGATAGCTTGAGAAGACTATAAAACATCTTATTAAGTTGTTTTTAGATATGCATAGATTTATATTTGATTTCACAGTTACATTACTCCTCAAATCATTTTTAACTCCAAGAAAAAAATCTAAATGTTGCAAATACTTCATTGCGAGGTTTATGTATTTGTGGTAATTTTTCTTATTTTACTTTACTTCATTTTACTTAACTCAGATGTGACAATTGCAACATTTTTTCATCTTGCTTCTGCCACTTTTCTTTTAGAATATAAAACAGGCAAAGGTAATCAAAGATTTTTGGAAATGAATATCAAGTTCAAGTTTAATTTTGAAGGAAAATGATTACATGTTTTCTATGTCTATTTTTGTATAAGTGCTTAATATTAATTAACAATTTTTAAAAATATTGTTTCAAATTTACACTGTAACATGGGAAATTACTAAGTTTACTTGACTTTTAATAACAGAAGGGTGAGGTTAAGAGCAAACCCACACACAGTCAAAAACCCATGTGTATCTTTTTACTATCCAAAGTTTAACTGCTACTAATAGTCTGCTGTTGACTAAAATATTTAGTGATAAGACAAATAGTTGGTTAATACACTTTGCTATATGAGTTATATACAGTGGAAATACATGAGAACCGTGGCAGGACACATTTTACTGCCTTATGCAATTTACTGGAGTGACCAGTATTCCCAGGGCAATGATCAGCATCACATGACATTGTACACAGACACTTGTGACACTTGAGGTCACCACAGTAGCAACCAGGGGTGACTATGAGAATATTGCAGCTGCGCAGTTACTCTGCAGTTAATTTTTTGTAGCTTTGAATTAATACTGCAGCTTTACATTTGTTTACATTTCTCTGATGTGCAAACGGTGCCACTTACATTCTGTATTTGTGTGTACATTTTGAGAAATTTTAACTTTTTATATGATATTCATCCATATTTTATAGAAGGATATGATAAAATGGACTTTCATCTACATATATTTTATCCATCTTGACACACTTCCCATTTGCTTAACTTTTTCAATATTTCTAGGTTATGTGATTCTTTTTTTTCTTTTTTCTCTCATTGAGTTTCATGGTACATTTTAAGTATACAGTACAGTTACATTCAACATTGGGATCTTGTATTTTTACATGATAGGTCGTGGTTCTCATTTTTTCCCCATACCCCTGCCCTCCCTTCAGTCCCTCCTCCTTTCCCTATTTACAAAAACTTTGTTTCCATTTTTTCATTTTCTCATATTTTTTTAATTTTCCCTTATTTTCTTTCCCCTACCCTTCCCACTTTCCCTATACCTTTAGCCCTTTTCTTCCTGTTTTAGATTCTCAATGTGTAAATACCAAGTAGTTTCTCTGGTGCGAAAAACTATAATTGTAAATAAGATCCTAGTGGTATAATAGGTTATGTGATTCTTAATGAGCACTACAAAGTAGAATTTAAAAAGTTAGTTTTGGGCTGGGGATTTAGCTCAGTGGTTCCACCACCTACCTTGAAAGCACAAGGTCCCAAGATCACTCCCCAGCACACACACACACACACAAAAAGTTACAGTTTATTTCCTTTCAAGGCAAACAGTTTCTCCATATTTCCTCAGCCAAAGAAATAAGTTGCTACCTCCACCTCTCCTCAGCCCAAAGGAAGGGAGGTAATATGCAGATGATGGTCCCAGGAGGTCAAGTCCTAAGTCAACGGAGGGAGAGATCAGATCCAGGAAGGGAAGACACAAGTCTGAACATGTCTGTTGTCCCATTGTATTCCCTCCACTACTGATCCTTGCTCTAAAAGATGCTGGCACACCTGGACACAGTGAGATGATGATTTGAGGCCAATGGACCCTCTGTCTGCTTGACCATGACCACAATGGCAATTGGACTCAAGTATATGAATCTGAGTGGCCAGTAACAGTTTCTCTGCAAATTTTGTCACATTATCATAAACCTCCTAACACTCTTCAAATTGTTGAAAATTTCTCAATATATTGCATGTTAAATGTCCAATGATTCCTGAAGAAAAGTGGCAACATGTTGTAACATCTTTCTACTTATAATGTTATTAACTGGAGTTGTTATATTAATCAATAATGCAGTT